CTGGCTGGCGGAGAGCACTGGCGCGGTGCCGGCCATCCAGAACAGCTGCCCTGTGCCAGCTCTGCCTCCTGCTGCCCACGCCGGTCAGTATTAGCCGGTCAGAACTGACCTTCTCGGCGGTAGCCTCACAGACCAGCTCTTTGCACCCGGGAACAAAACTTCCCCTCTCTGCTAGAAGATTGGCACTACTCGGCGTGCGCAGTTGGATGTCACGAACTACGCCCAAGCCTTACATCGCTACGAGAGGCCACTGCCCCGTGCTGCTGGCTCTGTTCAGTTCTCCAGGACGCATCAGCACAGACTTTCTGCACTGTCTCTTTCTGAATGTCATTTTTGCACCCCTGGGAGGAAATTTTGCCTTGGTGACTTCAAAACTGGATCCCAGCTGCCATGGGAAAGTCAGTAAAGAAGCTATAGGGATTGCTCTGCCTGTGGCTGCAACGCTGCTGACTCTGGTGGGAACTGAGCTAGGAGCCTGCAGGATGGACGCCCCGCGCTCGGCTTGTAGGGACATGGGGGCATGTGGCGCGGATGGTTGCAGGTGACATTTGGTCATAAGCTCAACAAACATTTCAAGCCATACCTTCCCTGTGGGGAGGTTATTTGCTCTCAGAAGGATGTCTCAGCTTTCACAGGCAGGGTTTGGGGTTTTTTTAAAGATTATCCATTTTGCTAACTTTTTCACCCTTTCTCAGGATGCTGTGAGAAAGGTGCCAGGTGCTCATACTAAAGATGCAGAGATGAGGTGAGGGAAAGCTCCCTGGTCTCTGGAGGAGTTAGTGCCATCGTAGCGGGGCTGGTGGCATCCCCGTGCAGCGTGTGCTCTCCTGCAGCGCTCGTCGAGTCGAAGCGCTGCACAGTTGCCGTCTAGTGCAACGGTGCATCTCTCCAGCAAGCCGCAACCAGCAGAGGGGACTGGAAGACCATTTCACACAGACATGCCTGGGGAAAAATTCGGTTGCCAAAGATCAGAGGCAGCGAAGCGAGAGTGCTCAGGTAACCTTTTGCACCCACTTAAACTGGGTCAATCTCCAGTCATAACTTAAAATAACTAGCGCAAGGCTGCAGGTAGAGCAGGGCGTTGTTTCTGCCTGCTTAATCTTTCGAGCTGCTTGTAATGCCCAGCCCCTGTTCTTTCCTAGTAAGTATTAAAAGGCAGAATAGGAAATTAGGAAAAATGCTACTTGTAAATGATCCCCTGAAGTTGCTATTCAAAACCTCTGAGCTGGGATCCCTAAAAGTCCCAAGACTGCTTTAAAAATCGTGGGAGGGTTTATTTTCATCTCCTTGCTTGTTTTTTAAAATGCACAATCTTTGGGGATCTTTTTCTTTGCTTTTCATTCACCAACCATTTCTGCAACCAGCAGAATGAGATATTGTAATTTTAATTGTTTCACCAAAACAAGCTCCTCCTCTGAGCCACAGCACCCAGGGCCTGCGGCTTTCAGGCGGGTGCTGTGCAGAGCGATAGTTGTCTGGAGGAAACTGAGTGAGTGTGTGCCTGTAACGCACGGTGGTCCCCTCTGCACTATGAAATTGCAGGGAAAGCCCATGGCAGTTGTTTCAGTCCCTCCTTTTGCCAGAGGGGCTGGAGCGGGTGCTCGGGGTGGGAGAGGAGGAGGAAGGGCTGGTCTGCTCAGCCCCGTGGGGCTTGAGCCTTCGTTGGCATAGATGCTCTATTTCAGCACGGCAGCTCCCAGCCACTTCTCCCAGTGCCTTCCAGTTTGCTAAAATTCATGCAAATTTACTGAATGCAGGATAGTACACAACAGTTAAATGTCTGCACATCTAAAGCACTGAAAAATGGAAATGACGACAGGTCTAAGATTTGCCCTGAGAAAGGCTGCACCCTGCAGCCTCCTGGCATTGCTGCTGAGCTTGTTGCAGGGAGGTTTCTCAGTGCAAGTCCCACTGGGGAGGTGTGGGTGACTGGCAGGACCATACTCCCGGCCTCTTGGTTTGACCTGATCCTGCTCTTAGGCTCAGGGAAGAATTTCCTGTGCTTGGCATCTCTTGTGGCCAGAAAGCGACTGTATTTGAAGCTGTAAAAATGCGGCCAGTGTATCCTGCTGCTCTCTGACCAGCAAGCCAGTGTCACAGAAACCCAAAGGGATTTGGTCATCGTGCGTTAGACCCCTTCAGTGACAGTGTGCTGTGTTGCTTCTTATTTATGCTGTGGCAATGGAGGGGTGGGTTGTGGGTGGTTTTTTTTAAAATGCCTTGTTTAATTGTGCTTTGGTTTGTATGTGGTTATTTAGCTAACAGAAAAATACTAATAAGAAAGGAACCTTCAGTAAATCAAACACTGCCTCCAGTCCTTTCAGCCAGAAAACACATAAGAAAGAACATATATTATTCTCCAGGTAATCCCTAATCATTACAAACAGCACTAACAAGCCCTTGAATGTGACGTTGTCGGCACAGCGCTCTGAGGGTCTAGCGGAGGACTCTTGCATTGATCATGGGTGTTAGATGAAGAGAGCGAGCCAAGAGTGCAGTGTCAGTATTCCCATTTTACAGAAAGGGAAGCCAAGTCACAAGCAAATAATTTCTGAACATGTATGTAAATGTGGTGAGCAGATTCCACCTCTGACCAGTTGTTATCATCTGTGAAGGTTACCAGGTTGGACCTGGTAAAAATAGTGTCTCTTCATCCCCTCAGGCCTAGTTACTCTGAAAGAAATCAAGCGGCACAGATATTCCAGAAGAGCAGATAAACTTACTTGGCAATAGTTATGCTGGTTAGTGATGCTGCAGAGATGAGGAATTATATTTCAACCTCTGCAGAGCTGACAACATTTAATCATTATGTTTGCGCACAATTCCCAGCACAATGAGGCTCTGATTTCCACCTGGTGCTTCCAGACACTGTAACAATACAACTTAAAAATGAATAACATAAAGAAAGAGATAGCTCCTTCCCTGGGCAATCTCTCCTATCTCTAAGCCCACTCATTCTTTCTCTGGCACAGCAGCCTCCCTTTTATTTTTAACCCAGTCCTCCACTTAGGACATTCTTGGATTTTTCCCTAAAAAAGCACCTGCCTTTCTGGTGACACTAATTCCCTTTCTCTTTTGATGTGTAAGCATGTTTTTCAGTCAGATAAATTCTCTGGCTGACACACAGTGAAGGACTGACAGGAATATTTATGTCCTCCCAGCTCCAAAGGATTCTTTTATTTCCTTCTGTCCCAAAGATGTGCATTCTCGGGCCAGATTGTGCTGGGTGGCAAAAGGACCCTCTCTGCTGTTATAGCAGCAGACATCTGCAGCTCAGCCTGCAGTCCCGCTCCCGGTGACAGTACGGTTGTTACAGCTCATTTTCACTGCTGCCAGCTCTGTATTAATTATGCCACGCTATTTTCTTTTGCTTTCTTTGGTGAAGTGCTCTCTCCTTCTGTTATCTATTTCTAATTGCTTTATTGCCTTATTTTAGAAAGCGTAAAAGTCCTAAGCGTCCAAATGGATTCTGAATATAGCAACAGCGCAGTCAACTGATGGGCTCTTTCGCAGGGGTGAATTGGGATTGTTCCAGTTAACAGCGCGCTGCCTGCTGGTACCAAGCACGGATCCTGCTCCGCTTTAGGGCACCACAAAGAGATTTGGCCCAAGCTGTTCTGAAAAGAAATGATGTCTTCAACACTTTTTTTTCATCCACATGTACTTGTGAAATGCTTGGGGAAATGTAAAGTCTCCCTCTCGTAACTGTAACTCAAGGACAAGTTAAATAAACACCCTCCCCGTCCTTGCACCCAGAAAACATGTGGGAAATAATAGTTACCAACCAACTACACCCAATTGCTGTCGAACAGAAATACCAAAGTCTTATTTTAACATTGTTATAGCCTTCATGGTCTAAGCATCAGAGAGACATTATTTGGGGCTCTTTTTGCACTGGTCATTGCTGCTCTACAGTATAATCACCTGTGTGGAAAGAGAAACTGAGGCAGGCGATTGGTTAGATTTGGTTTGG